TTCTAAGAGTGCAGTTTTGAACATCCTTATAGCAGGCATTTTGCATATCCCTTAATTGTCTTAGGATAAATTCTCAGAGGTGGAATTCCTAGATCAAAAATTTCAATATGTATTGTCAAATTGGAGAATTTGTTTCTCCAAGCCCACAGCAGTGAGATATACCAATTTAGAAGTATTTTAGTTTGTATTTTTCAGATAACTTGTGATACATTTACCTTCTCTTTTCTTCTTTGGGTTTCCTGTTCATATTCTTTATTTAATTTTCTATGTAGGGTATCCTTCATTTCCTTTGGGAGTTCTTTACATTTTAGAGAAGTTAGGGTGCTCCATTTTTGTTCTTAGTTCAGTATTTGTTACCAGTCACTTAGTTGAAAGAATTGGTAGCATGGTGTTCAGATTTGTGGATGGTGTCACATGGGAGGTATAATTAATGTAAAATTAACAAAGATAAATTGGGATAGGCATCAGTATAAAGCACTTTGAACCTATCTGAAAACAACTACCCTCATGCGCTGCATGATAAAGTTTCAACGGTGGACTGCATATAGGATGCTGGCCGCATGAGATGAAAATACCATATTTTCACTATCCCTTTTCTATCTTTAGGTACACAAATACCTACCATTGTGTCCCACCGACCCTGCAGTATTGAGTACAGTAACATGCTGTATGTGTTCGTAGCTGAGGAGTACTAGGCTGTGTCATAGAGCCTCTCTGTGCAGTAGGCTGTGCCATCTAGGTTCGTATACGTGCACTCTGACGTTCACACAATGATGAAATTACCTGACAACTTATTTCTCAGAACATATGCCCACCATTAAGTGACGCATGACTGTATAGAGCAATAGCAACTACTTCCTAAGCATCTTCAGTATGTCAGGAAATATGCTAGGATTTTATTGACTCTATATTAACTCTAATCCTCATAGCAGATCTATAAAATAGATACTGCTATTTTCATTTATAGATGAGAACTCGGAAACTCCCAAGTTCACACAGCTTATTATAGTAGATTCAAATTCAGGCCACTTGTTCCTGTTGACCCTGCTATTCCCACTGTGCCTTGGAAACATACAGCTTAACAGCATTTGGGAAACCTTGTCTCTAAAGGGACGACTGTGCAGTGTGACTGCCAGACAGCTAATACATTTTCCACCGCAGTGTTGAGCATAAGGGAAGTAATCACCCTTCTTAGTTAGTTTAAACCTAGAATATTGCTTAAATTTAGGGTGATCACATTTAAAAGGTGTATTATTGTACTTGATTATCATCAATAAATAGCAATAGCTGAGTGTCTAGGGAAAGCATTATGGAAGCCAAACCCAAGTTGACCATTCTCAGGAATAATTTGGTGACACAAGACATAGAAAACTACATACAGAAATCTGCAGTCTTGGAACTCGAGATGCCCCTATAGGTTTGTTACTGCCTGTGTCTACCTTCCACATTTGCTTTGCCCGCTTGTGTTTTTTTGATGGGGTTGTATAAAATTGTTATAGTCACTGTAATTTGTTGCATTGTTGACAGTGAAAATGGCCTAGGACCATAAAAGCAAATGATCACAAGTAATGAAGTGGGTGACTTTTTGCAAACAGAAAAAGGCAGTCCCTAAAATTTATTGAAAACCATCCAGTTTTGAGATGGGGGATATAGAGCGAAGGGTAGCTGCCCTTCGAAACGCCTAATGTCAGGTGAATTGAGTTTGCACTCATTGTGAATTGATACAGACAAACATGCAAAACAGAATCCGGGCACCTGCAGGCAGCGCTGAGAGCAGCATTCGTGCTTCTACCGCCAGAGCGCTGTTGCGAGGAGAGTACGCGCAGGCGCGATAGCAGACCAGTTGGAAATCTGTTCCTTTTTTTGATTTTGTTTGTGTTTTAAATACTGCTATGGAGAAATTTAAAGACATTTTAAATTATTTTGTGTGACTAAAAAGTTGGTGGCCCTGTGCAGGCTGCCAAAAGCCACTGAGTGGTAGGGAAGTGAGGCAGCTTCCAGGGCTCAGCGTGACAGTCTCTGCAGCTAATCCAGTTTTACCCCGGTGACAACACATCTTCTGGCGTGCATTCGTCACTCTAGGCGTCATGGTTTTCCTTTTCTTTAATGGTTATGTTTTTCATCAGGTTTCTTCTTGCTAGCCTGAAAAGGATGTTTTGATGAGTGGCTGATACTATTAACTGATGGAATATCAGCCAGCCTTTGAATTAGCCAGTCAGATTACTGTCTTCTGCCCTTAGAAAACTGTCAGACAGGTGAGGACTAAAGGAATGTTTTTATAAATTCACTTTTTCTATTATATATGTCATTATATCTTCTTGATAATTTGTGTTTGTTGGGATTATTTGCCTACAGGGAAGAAGGCATTCATAGATTTATCTGGGACGAAATGGATGACTCTTTGTAGAGCTGATAGAAAAAAACTTTTGGAGGATTCTGGATACATTTTAATTTTATTTTTATTGCTTGTTTTTAGCCTGATGGGCCGAATAACTACTTGGAGTATTCTTGACTTGGCAATGTTTAAAGTTTGCTTTCTCCATTCCTGGCATTTCAAGGTTATTTCACATACACATTAATAAAGCAAAGAAAACTTTTCTGAATTACAAACATTTTAAAGATTGGGCTGTCAGTTAAAATAATTGGTCCAAGGTCCAAAAGGTATAGGAACAACATGGTTTCTGCCAGCTGTTCCAGAGTAGGATCTGCCTGCGGCTATCTTAGGCCAGGAGTCATACTGTGTGCTGCTTGCTCCCCGAATCTAGCCCATTGAGCAGTTGTGTGAACACTGTCTTAAAAATTATCCAAGAAGCAACTTCTTCTCACTGCTTCCACGGTGGCATAGTGTAGGAGGAAGAGCAAAGGTGGCTCTGAAGCAGCTCGGGGTTTGAATTCTGGATCTGTAACTTGCTAGCTGTGACCCTTTGGGCAGCTTAATTTCTGCCTCTATTTTCCCATCAAAATATGGGAAAATACTAGAGACCTGCACTATTTGCCTATTGTAGGCCTTACAGGTACAGCTTTCTGAGCAGTGGCCGACACACAATGAGTGCCTGGTGAGTATCAGCCATTAGTGTCATATGTATGTCATATGTATAAAATACATATGTTATATATATACATATGTCATATGTATAAAATAATTCAGTATTACCACAGTCTAAATCCCACCCACCATTAAAGCGATCTTTCTAAGATAGACATCAGGTCGTGTAATTCTTCTGCTGAAAAGCCTCTAGTATTTCACAGTTAACTTGGAATAAAATCCCAGTTCCTTGCCACAGTCTTCAAGGCCCTGTGTGTGTCTGCCTGTCCCCACCTCAAGGCCCAAGCTCAGAGGGCTGCCTCCTTGCTGGGACTCTTTCCTTCTCTGCCCTGCCTAGCTCCCAATCATTTTAATTCCTTCTTCCGAGTTTAATTTTCTTCATGGCACGTTGTATAACTAGACTATAGGCTCCAGAAGGACAGGGACGTCACCTTCCTCATTCCATTCCTGTATTGCTGGCAACCAGAACAGGGTCTGGTGCGTAGTAGTTGCTTTAGATATTTGCTGAATAGATGAATGAGTTGAAACAAAGTGTAATTGCCAATTCTCACACTTTTTATGCTTTCATATGTATAAAATAAGAGCTTGCGTAAACATTGTTAAAGTTCCATTGAAACCATCAAAAATTTCTCTGGGACTTCATGAAAATGGCACAGGGGAAGAGAAGAGTGAACTCAGAATGAAAATACTGAATTTTCGTTGGGAGGAGCCCTGGACCCACCCACCCTTCAGCTCTAACTAGAGCAGCTTTGTGTATATTTTCTTTTATATATTGGAGTTTCATATGAAATTTGGTTTGAAAAAACGAGTCTGCTTTTAAAAGTTTAAAAACTACTGAATCAGAAGAGCACAAAGGTTGTTTTAGCTCAGTGATTCTGATAGCTTAAGTATTTAAAGGATATTGTTTCTTCATAATTCTCTGTTCCCTCCTCTCTCCCCAAAAAGATCACTTAATAATGTCTATAAGTGTCAAAATGATCATCATCAAGACTGTAAGCTACTTGAAAAAAAAAAAGACCCCACCTTATGCTCACCACTGAGGTGCCTGCCACTCAGTGCAGGGCCTGCCACAGGCTTACTCAGTGAAGATTTCTAGATGGGTGGATGAGCGGGTATTTGAAAAGAGCAAAAATGCATTTTTAAATGACAATACAGGTTTTGTAGAAACAGGTTAACATGGAATTTTAAGTGAAGTCTGTTGTTTCTTCAAGATGCTGTTTATTGGATATACATATTGTAAAAGAAAACTTTTTAAACACTGTGTGCTAAATGGCTACTCTCTTATACTTTAATTCCTCATGAATTTTCTGCTAATTATTTAAAATATAAAACTGATGGTATCCAACATGACTTTAAAATTCCTTTTTTTTTCTTTTACATTTAAAGCAAAATGCAAAAAATAAAGTCAGCTTTTAGAATGTTAACTTTCAGATAGTATTTTTTCTTTTGATCAGGAAATTGTACTGTGGGAGGTATTTAATAATAATAATCTATGTGGGGACAACGTTGACCCCACAGATGGTCATCAGTTGAGTTTTAGATTTTGCAGACCTGCTTGGAGTTGATAGAAGTTAGTTGAGGAAGGTTAACGTGAAAGTAATACAGTGTTGAGACACTGAACTGCTGGCTTGCATGTTAGGAGTAGAAATGAGAATATCAGCTTTGCAGGCTTGAAGAAGCATTAACAACTTGTCAACAAAATTTAAGAATCATGTTATACAATCGTATGGAACCTATGCATAAAGTTACAAAATACTACCACCCACACTTGGCCTTGTAGGATTGTGACTGTTGGTATGTTTTAGTATCAGTCTCTAAAAACACCTCTCATCAGCTACCAGCTCTCTGTGGTATAAACGGATGTCAGTGTGTAACTGCACATAGGTGGAAAGCATGCCATCATGAATAGTGGGTTCGGTTTCCTCGTATACTCAGCCTTTCTCTTTCTCTTTAGGTAAAGAGGATGAATATCCAAAGAAGCCCTTAGGCCAGCTTCCGCCTGAGCTGCAGTCTGGGGGTGTCCATCACCTGAGCAACGGACAGAGGAGCGTGGGCCGGCCGAGCCCGCAGACCGGCGGCAGGAGGGAGAGCGGGGCGCCCCACAAGAGGCACGAGCAGTCCCCGCACCCCCAGAGCAGGACCGGGACGCCGGAGAGAGCACGGCCGCCAAGACGGAAATCGGTGGAGGAGGAGAGCAAAAAGCTTAAAGATGAGGCAGATTTTCAAAGAAAACTCCCATCGGGTCCACAGGACAGTTCCAGGCAGTATAATCACGCAGCTGCCAACCAAAATAGCAACGCCACTTCGAACATCAGGAAGGAATTTGTGCCCAAATGGAATAAACCGTCAGACATCTCGGCTACGGAGAGAACTGCCAAATACGCCGTGGAAGGCAAAGGTCGAGCCGCGCACCCCACACACGCGGTTACCGCCCCAGGCCCTGCCGAGGCGCGTGTGTCAAATGCACGGCCAAAGATGAAGGCTCTGGATGCGGAGGACGGGAAGAGGGGCTCCACCGCGTCACAGTACGACAATGTGCCAGGCCCAGAGCCGGACAGCAGTGCTTCCGTGGAGGAGGTGCTGGAAAGGGCTTACTCTCAGAGCCCACGGCATGCGGCTTACCCTCCCAGTCCGAGAAAGCACGCTGAGCCAAGCTCTAGTCCATCAAAAGTGCCCAACAAGTTTACTTTTAAAGTACAGCCTCCAAGTCATACACGATATCCGTCCCAGCTAGACGGAGAAGCCCGAGGGCCAGCTCATCCCCCCTCTTACAGCAGTCCCCCTGTTTACCACGGAAACTCTCCCAAACACTTCCCTCCTGCCAACAGCAGCTTTGCTTCTCCACAGTTTAGTCCTGGCACGCAAATGAATCTTTCCAGGAGACCTCATGGTTCTACCCTTTCCATCAGTGCTACTCCAGAGAAATCTTACAGCCGTCCAAGCCCCCTTGTACTGCCATCTAGTCGAATAGAAGTCCTCCCTGTTGATACTGGTGCTGGGGGGTTTTTGGGCAATTCAGGGTCACCAAAGAATGGAAGATTTATCATTCCGCCAGTGGATTATTTGCCAGACCACAGAACATGGTCAGAAGTTAGTTTTACATACAGACCTGAAACGCATGCACAATCATGGACCCGAGATGCTAGCCGTGGCAATTTACCAAACTACGCAGCCTTTCAACACGCACCCTTTCAGGACCATGGCCTCCCAGCCGTATCTGTAGATAGTCCCGTGCGGTATAAAGCTTCACCGGCCGCAGAAGATGCCAGTCCATCTAGGTATCTGTATTCAGGGCCCCAGCCTCCAGCCTACCACTACAGGAATCGGGAAGGGCTTTCCATGCAAGAATCAGTGTTGCTGTGAGACTTGAAGTGTACTGACTTGCTAAAGACAAGAGAAAGAAGCCACATGAAACCTACGTTGCTATGTTCATAATTGCCAAAGCAGTATTTTATACTATTGTAAACAACTCGCACATCTCTAGTGTCTCTTAGGAGGAAGAATACAGGGAAATGTCTTCATCCCCACTCAAGACGCTGCTTAAGATGAGCATTTAAATTGCATCATCACTGACCTGTTAGAGAATTTAACCAGGAAACATAGCAATAGCATTTAGGGATGCACGAACAATGGTAATTTATTACTCAGTTCCGTTTATGTCTTTCTCCAGAACCTGAACATTTTTACCCTCTTGGCTCATTCTATTTTGACTAATGTTACAAAGTACTGAAAAAACTGTAGAATAGATATTTTTAACGCTATATGTAGTGTATGTGTCTTTTAATAGATATAGGTATCTATGCATACACGTTTGAACACAGAATTAAAGAAACGTTTTTAAAAAACTACTTTTAATCCAGATCTGTAGAATAATATGTAATTCTTATTTTCCTTGTTTTTAAGTCCAGTTTTTCTTTTCCCTCTCATATTTTTAACCTAGGTCCTAAACTGACTGAAGAGTTTGTCCTAACTTTATTAATTGCATTCTCACAGAATGCTCATCATTCTCCTTCAACTGCTGCCATTTTCTTTCAATCTGAAAATTAAAGACATTGGAGAGAAAGGCTAACCACTTAATGGTGCTTAAAAATCGGGGGAGTTAAAATAAGTTTACAGCCAAAGGTGCAGCAGTGCTTATATCCACTTAATAAGAGATCGGTCTTAGTGCATTGATGCCCTTTGTTCTGGTCTGACTCTTGCAAACCTCAGACCAGGGGAAGCTGCAGCTTACTGATTCCTCAGTGTTCACAGTACTCATGTGGGCAGCAGAACTGCCTGGGTTAGCGGTGTGGTTACTCCTCACTTCTGCCCTGACTCATGGAGCTTCTCCCCATGAAGGGCCCAGGGTGGGCATTTTCACCATCCTTTTCTGGCCTTTTTATGGAATGTAGTCAATGGATATTGCTGCATCTCATCAGGCCATTACATTATCCATGTTAAAATTATAAAAATGATCCTAGTCTTTCATAGGAGTCTAGGATTTTGATCTTTTAAAAAAATATAGTGTGATTTCATGCTGTTGAAAATCTTTTTTCTTTTTCATTGAAACAAATTCAAGTTCCTGATTAAAAAACAAAATAGTGATGTCTTTAAAAAATACCCTGTTACACTACAGTTCCAAAACACTGACAAAGTTTTGAGCACTCCAAGGGAGTATGACTTTGTGTTTAATTGGGGAGCTTGCTTTCAACATCGCTTATATTTGAATAGTAAAAACCTAACATTGATGGTTCTTCCTGTTGCAAGGTGGGGCTTTAAGCTTTCAAGGTACAAAAGTATGTCTTTTAAAATGAAAGTAACATTTGTTTAGCTGGCGAATGTGACAATAATTTTTATGTATATAATGAGTCTAATATAATTTTAATCAACTTGGTAATGATATTATTAAATAGCAAAACAAATGCAGTGTATTAAAGCTAAACACAACATTGAAACACAAAATTCTGATGAAATACGGGCTCTTGATTCAGATCAGGTGGAAGCTGAGAAATAAATGTATATAAGTGTGTAGCTGAGGATATTAATTCCCATTTTAAAACCATGATTCTGTGACTTTAATAAACCAAGCTGTACAATTTAGTTTATGATAACAGTATGTGAGCTGCTCCAAAATATATATATCAACAGTGGTAAATACTGTAGATTTATATATATATATATGCAAAAAATATATATATACACACAAGCACTATTTTCTTAATGTCATTTATGACTTTTTTTAATCTGTATACTTTTTTTGATGTGATTGTTTTTTAACATGCTAAAAGTAATAAGTATATTTTGTTTTGTGTCTTTTATGTGCATTTTCTTCATACGGCAAAAATGGTGCACCCCTGCTGCTTTGGAGGCTAATTCTCTTCTAATTGAGTAGCTGTTGCCTAATATTCACCTACCTTACCTTGCATATGTCACAGTTCTATGTGATATGCATTACTAATTTTCAGTGAGACTATATTTGCAACTACATAATTTTTCCTTATTTTATTTCATATGACATTGTTAATAGCAATAGGAATTATTTCTAGTCTTCCTCATTACAAAATGTAGCTCTCTGTTTTTTAAGTAGGAAAATGTAGTTTGGAATTATCTTGCCACCATACAGTTTTACTTTTTCAAATTTATTTTTTAATAAGAGATAAATAATAATAAAAGATAAAGAGATTGGTAAAGTATATTTATGAAAAACCCATTTAGTATGGATTTTTGTAGTGTAGAGACTGATTTTACTCTGTGACTGCATGTACCTGGTGTATTTTGCCATTAAGTCTTTTCTTCATGGCAAATTTGCCTTAGTAAGCGCTTTGGTATAGTTTCTATTTCATAAAATATTTAGTCTGAGATGTTAAAGAAACTAGACCTAAGACCTCAAAAGTTTTAAAACTTTCACTTTTTCATATGTTTATTAATAGGATTTTTAAAAACTGAACTGAACAGCGTTTTAAGGCTGGGAGATACATATAAATTCAGGTAGCAGTATTAATGATAGACTCCTTCATTGAAAGAATGAAGAGATTAAACCAAGAGGACATCTCTGGAGAAGAAAAATAGATGTTTATGGGATGCGATTGTTTCAACTTTGTTTTTCCATTTTAAGAAGATTCTAGTACTAAATTCTGCCCTACTCAGTGGGACTTTCAAGTAGACGTTCATAGTTTCGGTCACTTGGGGTCTCTGCCTTCGGTTCCATTAGGGTGCGGGCAGAAGAACTGTACCTGGTCAGCACTGCGCTGAAACCCCTTCCTCTCCACTGTCATGAGAGAACAGCATGCCATGTCTCTGAGTAGGGCTTTCTTCACAGAGGACCAACAGCTTCATCTTCTGGACTTAAGAGTATTCTTACTTACCTTTTGGAATTAGTCCTCTATCTTAGTATGCACTTGATTGTGAGTTTTAAGATTATTGCTTTAGGATTTATTTTTTGTCTTTTATTTTAAATTGTTCTTTAATGGATTTTCAATGTCTGTATTGAATGTGAGCATTAACACTTATTGGCCAAGTGGATTTTAAGAAGTCAAATTTTACTTTTTTTTTTTTTTTGAGATGGAGTTTCGCCCTGTCACCCAGGCTGGAGTGCAGTGGCGAGATCTCAGCTCACTGCAACACCTGCCTCCAAAGTTCAAGCGATTCTCCTGCCTCAAGCCTCCCAAGTAGCTGGGATTACAGGTGCCCACCACCACACCCGGCTGATTTTTTTTTTCTCCTGTATTTTTAGTAGAGAAGGGGTTTCACTGTGTTGACCAGGCTGGTCTCAAACTCCTGACCTTAAGTGACCCACCTGCCTTGATCTCCCAAAGTGTTGGGATTACAAGTGTGAGCCCTCTGCCCAGCCCAAACCTTACTTTTAAGATGACCCAGAGTCATGAGAATAGGAAAAAGGAATCTGATAAACATTGGTGCATTGTATTTTCAGAAGGATTTTCAGTTATCCGTGAATCTGAGCATAACTGCTACCATTTCTATGTGAGAAAACTGACAGAGGAACTCATAAAAGGGCAGATCTTGACCCTTGGGTCTTTAGAATTATCTGGTATTCTTTATAATTCTTGAGAATTATTGGGTGAACTTTAAAATTTTTTCTGTTTGAGTTATATCCCAGACCACTTAAATCAGTATCTTGGATGGAACCCAGACATCAGATTATCGTATTTTCCCCCATAATTTAAAGTTCAATCATTAAGCTCTTTTTTTTTTTTTTTTGAAAAGGAATCCCCCTAAAGTTGATGGTCTTATATTCCCACTATAAGATACTTATCTCAAAGATTCTTAGACCAAGGGTTTCAGAGTTTAGAAACTCAGATGCTGGACAAGTTAGGAAAAATTCCACCAGCACAATTAACATTATCAGTCATCTCTGTAAATGTTCATTAACTACTGACATCAAAAATGGAAGATGGCAGGCCCTGTCCTTCCGCTCAGGTGCTGCTTATAGTGGTCCTCAGTGGAGAGCCTCCCTAAGATTTCCTTTTTCCTCGACAAAGTCCTAAGTTGTTTGGAAGTCTACAAGCATTTTCAGTATATGAGGAGCTGAGAAAGTGCCACATGTCTGCTCCTTCATCCGGCCAGCCAACATTCTGTAGGGCACCTGCGTTGTACTAGGGACCGTGCTAGATTCGTGTTTCCACATGTGAGATGTGTTTTGTAATCTAACTATGTGTTTTGTAATCTTAGTCAATCAGTGTTGGAGGTGTATGCACAGGATCTTATAGGTATATTATTGACACATATAAATGCCAAATAGTGGTCCCAGCCCAAGAGGTTCAGGGAAGTCTTATGAAGGATTTGCCTCAGCTGAGCCTGAGAGGACAAGCATATAGAAAGACAAGAAGGAGGGAGACAGGGCGTTCTGCAGAGGGGATGGATGGCAAGAGCAGCTGCATGGGATGTGTGAGGCAGTTGGCGACTGGGATGTGTGTGTGGGGTAGGCATGGGGGTGGAGAGGGTGAGGGGCTCCACAGAGACAAGATGGTGGAGAGAGTTGTGTGCAATTGAACTTGATCCTGTAGGTGGTTATGACCTGGTATGGAGGTGAGATGTGAAGGAACAGCCGTGGGGGCAGTGAGGGAGACAGGACAAGCCTTTCATCTCAAAGGTGGCACGGAGCTTAAGGCCAGGGAAGATGGTATGAAGAAAAGGTGATGGAGAACTAATTACCAAGGGAAATTGGCAAGGCAACTGGATGGGTGTGATTCGAATGACTGTAACGAGAACAGCTGGCACCTACTGAATGCTTACTGTGTGCGTGGCACTCTGCTAGAGATTTTACTGCTATTAACTGATTTAATCCTCACAATAACGATGAAGTATGTACTACTTTACTTCCCAGTTTACAGAAGAGAAAACTAAGGCCCAAAGTTAACTTGCTC